AAACTCTGGAGAACTGTGAGAACTTTTAAGCACTATTTTAAAAAAGTGAGACAAGGTTTGACTGAATCCTAAATCACCAACCAATGATACTGACCTTGATTCTCCGAACAATTATATTTTGTTTTACTTTTTGTTTCAAGACTTACTGTTGCACGAACATAGGACACAATTACAGTCGTTCGGTAATCCCACCTCTGGAATACATAACGAGGTACAAAAATAGATGAACAGTGGCAGAAACAGCTTGAAATCCGAATATAATGTATCTAACCAACGGTTTGACGAACGCCAGTAACAAATTATAGCCTGGAGCAACATTTTACACATGATTTATCAAAGCCAGAAATATTTCTCTGTTGATTATATTGATATTGTCAATTGACATAATTTGTATAAGAATTTGTACGATGAGTTGCGATACAAGTGTAGCTTTTACAATGACCTCACGCTCACCTAGCTCTCGCATCCTTAAAGTTTTTCGCTTTCCTTTAGGTCTATTTATACCCGAAATGTAGTGTGTTTTCAAACAAATAATGATTATCTGTTCGATTCCAACTTGATTTTATTGAGTTGACTTACATGGTGACAAAACTTCGCTTCTCTTTATAATACTGAATTGTGAACTAATTTTTTTTAGCAAGTCGCTGATAAGACAACAACAGTACCATTCTTTCACAGTAAATTCCTTCGCTTACAAGGTTGGCCTTTTTTCCTCTTCTAAACTCGTCCAAAATAGTTTCTGGACAGATTGTAAGATCCAGAATTAAGAATGATCTACAGTTATACATACAATTGTTACAGGTGTGCTTGAAAAGAAAAAAGAATAAGATGGCAAATACAAATATTTAGTTTGTGGCTTTATTTTTACAGACACTCACAAGGGAACTAATAACAACGTCAATACAGCTGTATTGCGTAAGAGTAACTTAACACTGAGATTAACATATTAAAGTTTTTGCACCAGGGCATCTATTCTGTCTTTCCTACACAACATTGATTATATAAAATGGCAAAGCCATATATAAATTTCCGCCCATTATTCAAAAAACTAGAAATTCTGGATCAGTTTTACAAGCAGAGTTGTTCTTTCTCTTCATTTGGCCCAGATATTTGAATGAACGGTTCCTGTATTTTCATATCATGCGAATTTTGCAGCGGAGGGCTGTTGACGAAATACCATTGGCCCCTAAACATCATAAGCTTTTCAAAAGCTCTTCACTGAATCCTCCTTCGTTTGGGTAAGTATTTCCAGGTTTCACGACGAATTTAGCCCCACCATAGGGAGTTTGTGACTACAACTCCCAATCAGTTCCGCTGTGTTCATTCACAATTGCTAACAAGGCTCCTTCTGGAAAGTGAGCGGTTAAGTCATCACAGCTTTTAAAGAAAACCTATTAAAAAGAATTGTGACTGGCGGTTATTGTGCTCGTTTTTAAGTGCTTAGAAAAAACTTTCAGCTATTTAGCCAAAATGTGTTCACAAACAAGTCCCGTTCGTTTATATTATGTGATTGCTGCGTTTTCCGTTTGTTTGTTGGTTTTTTTTCTTTTATCGACTACGAGCCTGGTACAGTACTTATTGCTTGATTATAAATGAACTTAATTTTGGTTACAATGAATATATGAAGTTCATATATTTTGAACTGCGGTTATAGATACGTATGATGCACGATCCTTGCAGTAGAGAGCGCTATTTATGCAATAGCGAAAATCAGACCTGAAAAAAATCAGGCCTGTACGGGATTCGAACCACTAACCTCTGCGATACTAGTGCAGCGCTCTACCAATTGAGCTAACGAGCCAACTGGGAGCAAGCCGTTAAGTTGATTCGTAATAAACCCGTGATGATAAATCAGATACGATGAATATATGAAGTTCATATATTTTGAACTGCGGTTATAGATACGTATGATGCACGATCCTTGCAGTAGAGAGCGCTATTTATGCAATAGCGAAAATCAGACCTGAAAAAAATCAGGCCTGTACGGGATTCGAACCACTAACCTCTGCGATACTAGTGCAGCGCTCTACCAATTGAGCTAACGAGCCAACTGGGAGCAAGCCGTTAAGTTGATTCGTAATAAACCCGTGATGATAAATCAGATACGATGAATATATGAAGTTCATATATTTTGAACTGCGGTTATCGATACGTATGATGCACGATCCTCGCAGTAGAGATCAGGTCTGATTTTCGCTATTGCATAAATAGCGCTCTCTACTGCGAGGATCGTGCATCATACGCAACTTAATTTTAGCATTGCGTTTACTTTGTTCGTGGTTGACAATGCCCTACCTCTTTTTGACTTTCTTAAGGAACCTAAGCAGATCAATAACCACCAAACCCAAACGGTTTTCTCGTGTTTGTTGGGGGGTAATTTGACGTTTTGAACTTAAACTCAATAAGCCGGCAAACAAAGTCTTCATAAACACCCGCGTCATTCTCGCCGCAAAATTACCCTGCAGCTGAATGCTTGTGTTTAGCAAACAAAGAAAAAAAACCGCAGCCTTCGATTCAAGTTAAAAGAAGTCGAATATTAACAAGTAGTCAAACAAACAGCAACGCTTCGTTTCACGGAAACCTTTTGGATGCAAGTTTCGGTCTTTTCCTTGCTCTTTTAAAACACATCCAACATAACCTCCATATAGATTGTAAGAGTTAGAATTAAGAACCAACAACACGAGGCATTATCTTTGAATCCAACTTCTTGGCAAACTTTCTACCCCCGTTCGATTAAATTTGTCGTAGCGAACCTATTTTGCACTTCATGAAAAGTATGTAAGCATAGAACTGTGTGGCTGTCTACATTTAAAAGATTTCTTATCATATCCTTTTCGTGAAAAAAAAAAAAAATGCTGCGAAAACAACACTTTTTCTTAATACGAGTAGTCAATGAGGCTCACCCTTATCGGTGGATCTGAATAGAAAGCACTGAAGCGAAACCTTAAATATTTCCACTTTTGTTTTATTTGTACTCGCCACCTGAATCGTGTCCAAGACTTCTTTAAACGTGATTCCTGTGATCTCCCTGCCCAGCGCTGCGCGCTAAGCAATTTCCTTTTCAGTTTGTAAATTTATTCAATACCCACAATGACGTGGTTTCTGCTATCCACCAACTTGAAACACCAGGTACAACACTTCACACTCATTTTTAGCATTGTTCACCAACTCTTGCGAAATAACGACAACTTAACGTGACTGGAAAGACCTTCCATATTTCAAAAACTATACATGAACAAGCGACGCCGGAGAATGAAAATTGCTTGTAGTTTCAATGTCCACCGGGTAAACTTGGCAGTATCTAGAAATGCTTAGTAAATGTTTAGAAACCGATAAAGCGTCAAATTTGAATGCAAAGAGCGCTACATTAGAGAAGAATCAGGGCCTTAGCCAGACTTCAGAAAAAGACGACGCAAGTTTCGGGTCTGGCATGCCTCCCCCAGAAAATTTTGAATCTAGAGGCTCAGAAATGCTCTTTCAAGCATTTTCCGTGGCACTTTTCTTTAGAAAAGTCAATCTTGGGCAAGTGTGGAAGTTCAGTTTTTATCGCCGAGCGATACTGGTGCAAAAAAAAGAAAAAGAAAAAGGCCAAAATCAAGACGAGGCAATTGCCTCGTCTTGCCTCATTCTAGCTCATGCCTCTTGCCTCATGCTAGCCCAGAGAATGGGCCAAAATTGGCCCACTAGGCTTCTTAAAACTCACTTTTCTGAGTTTTAGTAGTGTTTGCTTCTAAATCAACGCACATCTTTTTGAAGATAAAGATGTATCTACAATTTGCACCTAAAATGGACGACTTACAGAGTAAAAGTATAATGATTTTGTACTTGAAAATACTCAGAATTTGGGCATTTTTAGTATGAATGTCATTTTCAAGAGCAATTAATTTACCGAAAACCCTCACTACCCTCGAAAAATCAACGCATGGCAAATGGCATATCGATTATTACACTAACATAATCCGTTTTAACTTTGAATATTGGCCGACGGGAATTTTTATCCATTTCAATTTGAAAATCTTATGCCGGAGAATGAAAATTGCATGTAATTTAATTATCTACCGGGTAAAATTGGCAACATTTAGCATTGTTTAACGCATTTCTGAAAGAGTAGATTTAACAAAACTACATCACACTAGGATAATATTATGGCTACATTTTTATTGATACTCTACGTGCCAACAGTGACCGACAGAACAATTCTTTTAATTTAAGGACGATATAACTTAGCTATTTTTTTAAAGTTATTTAAGTGCCGATATCCTTGGCTTAGCTTAATACTCTTATCATAATTGTCATTGTACAGAGAAGGAAACGGTACGCTTTTTTATCGAAAGTGTCATTACTCTCTCTTTTGATTGCTCTAACAATGAGTTCTGGAATCATGCCACTGGTTGAATAAACGGCTACCCACTGTCAGGCTGCACCCTTGATTGACGAATTGAGGAAATTATACAAAGAGGAAAAGTACTTAGCATCCATCTTGACATCGTTTCAAAAGCTCTTGAGAAAGAGCGATACCTTCACGTGACTGAAAGACCATCCATATTTTAAAGGACGCGTTGTATCCAAGCGATGCCGGAAAATTTGAATTTTTGGTGTCTGCTAGGTAAAATTGCATCGTTTATCGATGCTTAGAGCATTTCTTGAAGGGTGAATTTCACAAAACTACATCACATTAGGATCTCGTGACTCTGACATTTTTATTAATACCTTACGTGCCGACATGGATAGAACAATTCCACTAAGGACTTTACAGCTGACTTACTTTTAAGTATTCTTCGTACCAATCTAATGAGCTTTTAACACTCAAAGCAAAGGAAGTGGTACGCTTTTTAATTAACCAACGCGTCATTACTATTTTGAATTGCTCAAACAATGCGTTCTGGAATCATGCCATTTGTTGAACATCGGCATCCCAATGTCATGTTGCACACTTGATTGATGTTAGAACAGCATATAAAGAATTCTTGAACATCTGAACGCTCATCAGTCGAAGCCTCGACAAATTAAAAGAGAAGTTGCTTTAACCCGTAAAGATCAAGTTGACAAGATAAGGTAGGCTTTTAGATATTTTCTTGCAAGCGCACCATTTGTGTTTTGAAAATGCAAAGCTGACCAGAGAGATAAAACTGAAAGAAAGAATACATATATTCAACCACCAACAGGACTCCCTGCCGCATCAATCTTCTTGACAATATTTGCTTTAAAAGGCTTTTGACATTATGATTTTCAGAATTGTGGAAGATGGGAGACTCGACAGCAGTACTATTGTATAAAGAGGAGAACTATGAGCCCAAACCTCCCACGGTAAATACATATATGATTTAATAATCCTTCGATGTAAGACATATAAATGAATTTCAAGCTTTTCCTGGAGATATTTGATTGAAACAACTTGTGCTGTGAAACAAACTGACGGCGGACCGGATGTAGCTGATTTCGGATTTTTTTTCCAGCTCCTGAGCAAGATCGAAAGTCATGTTTAAAACAGTCACATGAGAAGAACTCTCTTGTGCAGTCATTCACAAATTGTGCGTTGGATTCCCACGAAAACTCATGAAGGCTCAAGGTCTGACCTAACGTATTCAATTTGTTTTCTGAACATAGAAAGTGACAAAGGACGAAGCAGACGTAAAGGCAATTGGCCTACCTCTTGGAGCAAGGTCTCTTCAAGTTGGATCAGATGCAGGCGACTGGTACGTTTACCCTAAGATTAACTTCCAAGGCCAACCTGGACGAGTGGATCAGGGTAAGGACTACCCTAACCCCAAAGAAATGGGTCTTCATCATCACCCTGTCATGAGCTTGAAGCGGGTTGGATCGTGATGGGGATACACATCCAAGGTTCCGTGGATGAATTCTGTCAAACGAGTTTTGAAAGCAACCAACTAAGTCAAAGAAACTAAAGTAAAAGTAAATCAAAGGTTGAATTGTTTTGTAATTGCAATTTCAAACAGCTTTCCACGGATTAAAACATGTTATTCCCTCAATTGAGAGGGTAAAAACTGTTGTGCTTTTTTATATTCATTTTTCTCTCAGATGTTTTAATCTGCAGCGATCGTCAAGAAAACAGACCCCACACTCTACTGTAGAACCACCCTTTTTCCATATTTATTCCATTTATTCTTGGTCATTTTCTTTTCACTTTGATTTGCGCGTCAGTTTCCCCTAGGCTTACGCTAACCAGTGTGGTCAATTGCCGATGTCTTACTTAACTTTCAGTTATTCGATGCGGCTGGCCTCGGAAATCGGTTTTTACTTTTGATAGGTATGCGTGTTGATGTTAAACAGAGTGACAGTTCGGATAGTTGTGGGAGTTTTTCTATCTTTTCGTTGAATTTATTTTCAAGTTTTAGAGAGTTAAAGGCATTTTGCGAGTATGCGCAGGTTAGATTATCCAAAAGCCAGAACCCGATGATAATTTGAGGACATAAAGGATCATGGGAACGATAGACCGAGTAGATTCATCGTTTCTTTAAATTTTCACAACAAATAAACAGGAAACCAAGATTTTAAGTGACAGTTATATTTCGGTATAAACTATACCATCATCAGACTGAAAACTCATACAAAATTAGGAGCTTAACCCTTTGCATACTAAGTGAACACATATGTCGAGATAATACCGTTACTACTTTTGATACTTGTTTCTTGTCCAACTTAAGACACAGCATTATGTAAGTGTGTAAATTGTACCGGCTCGTTGATGTGACATCTATTGCAGCCTAAAACGCCCAATGATTCCTGATTTTCATTGCAGTGAACTGTTCGTATGGCAAAAAATCCCAAAGTCCAGCATTTTGCTCCGAGAGCAACACCAAAAACATGTCGATCTTTTAAGATGAAAACTTGATAAAAAAATCAAAAGTTTGCGTTCAAATCACACCTCAGGGCCAGATCTTGGAGTTTGGCAAGAAAATTCCTTCTCACTTTATCTGCCAGCCCATTTGATGAAAGCTAGGGTTGCGAACACAACCGTTGCCTTGTTCATGCCCGAAAAGAATCCTGGGTAATTCCGCCATAACTCGAAAAGGCAACTCCTATCATTTCCATTTCAAAGAATTATTATAAAGTGTCGGGCCATCCAGTCCTACCAGCAGAATATCGCATCGATTGAAATTTTTACCAGTCAAAACTTGGCCCATAGCTTTGGTAGGTCCTGAAAGCCATCCACAGATGGGCCCGAGAGACAACTCCACTTGTAAACTCGCCAAGCTGGCAGTAAAGCATCGTTGACGGTCCAGTCTACATGAAACCATCTCTCTCCTCTGTTTTCCTTCAGAGGCTTGCCTCTACCCACATTCCAGCTTAATAATGCCGTCGTGAGGGCTTCTGTAGAGGGAAAATGGCTCGAAAAACACTTCTAAACGGTCAGAAAAGCGAGAAACCGAATCGATTTGAACGCATCCAAACACGAA